GGGGACCCCAAGCTTGACTCGTGGAAATGTGTGGGAAAGTGGGGCCTTAAATCAAGCATTAGAGTTCTTTGTAAAGAGCTGTTTTCAATAAAGTATTGGACTCTAAAGATCTATAATAATAATAATAATAATAATAATAATAGCAAATGGAGGTATGAACATCGTTCTTTGTTTGAGTTTTATTTCGATTTCGATTTACTGGCATTGGGGTTGCTCGTAAACTGGAAACTAGTCGTGCAAAAAATAGCTGACACTGAAGGTCAAGTTAGCAGCAAGCGCAAGCTTGAGACAGATGCTGATTTAGTATTTCAGTAAGAGTTTGTAGAAAGTTAAGATATTATTAAATTCTCTATTTGCAATACATGTTACTAAGATCTTGTCTTTCAGTTTGTTTTATGGATTTAGTGTGTGCACTCTACTGTTTTGTGTTACTTTTGTGATCTGTTATTTCAACTCCATAACAATTTTGTCCCAGGGGCTGGTGGAATATAGAAACCTTGCCCCATATCTGGGGAAATACAGATAGCTTTCCTCTAGGCTCAAAGCAAAGTCCCACATTTTCCCGGGGTCCCCCCCGTGGAAGCCGATGACAAGTGCATAAGGTATATTATTAAAGCAAGATAGTTTTTAAACTTAACCTTAAAAGGGACTCATTCAGATCAAATGAAAATGACCTCCTTGTCATAAGCTTTTTATGTTCAATCCAACTCTTCCAACTCATCTTTTTCCATTATTTTTCAGATATGATTAATGACAGTAAGAAGAAAGTGTCATTGCCTGTGTATAAACACTTTTAGCCTAATATTTTTAAAAGGATATCATTGTCAAGCAAAAGGTCTTATGCTTTTTATGTATAAACTACAGGCATGTAAATAGCAACAGCATTATGAACTAGCACAAGAATAGTTGCGAGAAGACACTCCTTTATTGTCGGTATTTGCTACTACCAAGAAAGGGTCGCGTGACATGTGACTTGGTCGAGTTTCAAAGCCTGGAAAACTCGAACAAAGTCACTTCATCAAGTTCAGATTTCATCGTTTCGAACAAGTAACTAACTTAAACACTGTTTAAAAAACATTTTTAGCGTTAGTTCTTCATCGGATTAAAAACATGTAAAAAAGAGAGTTGTTTTGGGTTGGAAAATACAAGAAGAATAATTATAACAGCAAGGTGTGCGTCACGGGATTGTTTAATTCGTTACAGTGTCATGAACATTGCCATCATATTGTAATTTTTGACGCACCTCAGTATAATTTACATTTAGTCTAGCCTATCGTGTGTATATGTAACGTAACATAATATTATGATGGCCAGCACTGTACTAGCTTCCTCCGCAGGCTACTCCATATATTCTATATTCTCTGTTGCGATCCCTGTATTAAATTTTATGGCAGAGAAGAACTAGGAAACAGGAAAAAGGAAAATAGGAAACAGGAAAAAGAGAAGAAATAAGAAACAGGAAGACCAAGGAGCAAAAATAGCCAAGGAGATGCCTGCGGAAGAGGCTAGAACTGTACTACCAGACACAGGAATTATGGGAAGGGGATTAACCCCCTCATTGCTCCAGGTAMTTCCAAGAAACTGTATCCAGCGTCGAAAATCATTATTAGAAGCGTATTTCTARAATCGGCCCAARAAGAAATGTAGTTCTTGGGCGAAATGGCAACGTTTTCTGGCGGACGATATGATGTCCTGAGAGATGAATCTGAAAAAGAAAGCCTCGAAGAAGAGAAGGATTTACATGAAGTCCCAAAATCAAGCGAAAAAAGCGTAAAAAAGAAGAAGAAAAAGAAGAAACAAGGAGATGAATCCGGCAACGGAGCTTGCAAACCTCCTGATCGAACAGAAGCGGAAAAAGTGGTTCTATCTTCGACACAACATTTAAAAAATACCGCTCAATACCACTCAGATCATMGTAAAGGTTGTTTAGAATTAGACACCAAAGTAGGAAAACTAGAAACTAGACAAGATAAATCAGGAGCTGTGTCCGTTAGATCTCAGCAAGCAAATCAAAATGCAGAGACAACGACAAGTCCGGGGAAAACGAAGAAGAACAAGAACAAGAAGAAAAGTGCAAACCAAGGCACTCTCTCATCTAAATTCAATTACACGCCTCCAAAAGGCACCACTAAAAAAGGAAAGGAAACACGTAACGACGAAGAAGGAGAAGAAGGAGCTAGCACAAGCATTCTTTCATCTGGATCAAATGCACCGCTTCTAAAACCCATCTATGAAGAAGGAATGGAAACACACGATAACAAAGAAGGCGAACAAGGGACAAACACAAGCATTCATTCATCTGAATCAAATGCATCGCTTCTAAAACCCATCTATGAAGAAGGAATGGAAACACACGATAACGAAGAAAGTTCAGCTGAAGTGAAGGCAACCTTTGTGATGGAAGCATCATCGCAAAAACTCACAGACTTGGAAAGATTTTCAAATGAACCTACACTACTAACAACAGAAGAAAAAGAAAGGTAACTACTTTACAAATATGTTTAGAGATTAGTTATCTAAGGCCTAGGGCAAAC